TCAACAGAATGTGCTATTTATATTCCAAAGTTAATGTCATCATTGATGATGAAATTGAATGTTCCGATACTTGGTGTAGTTGTGAAGCTTTTTCTGTGTTTGGTATACCTTGTATACATATAATAAAAAGAGCTTATAAATATTCTAATTACCCAATTTCCAAATTATGTTTTTCAAATGAAATATTAAAGGAAAATGTTTTTAAAAAGATTGTACATACAAAAGAAACAAGAAATGAACAAATAGATTGTTTCTCAAAGAAACATACAGATTTACATTATTAACTTGAGTGCATTGAACCTGCGTTTCAAAATGATGCTTTTTGCATGCATGTTATTATTCATTTGTTAACAAATGTACAAAAAATCCCAGCTTTTATCTTGACCATCAAATGGTATGTAGCCAAAAAAATGCTCAAAACTTGTGTAATGTCAGAAACTCAAAAAACACAAATGGGCCTATTGATACTACTTCAATTCGTGATCCAAAAACACAACACCACAAAGGACCGAACCCTCGTCGGCTTGTTGAAAAGGTTGAAAATATACACAAAAGTGTAAGGCCTGATAAAACAACAATGCAAAAGCCTGTGTTAAGACTTAAACTTACAAAAAAGCCAAACACAAAAACATTAGAACAGAATTTGGTTTCACTAACAAATTTTTATTGATATTTTATATTCGTGTAACTAAATATCAAAAAACAAAAATATAAAAATTTTAAAATTTTGTAATATTATTATATATATTTTGTTATAAACATATATTGTACTATTATTAATAATAAAAATTAATATATAAAATAGTTTAATTTGTGTAAATTCATATAATATAATTATTATTAAAATACTATTATTAATAATAAATGTATTTTTGTATTTATTTTTAGCAAAAATTGCGTTTTATTTTAAGAGGTGGTGGTGGAAAAAGCCGGTCCAGTTCAACTTAAATTTAAACTTTAGAATTATTTATAAAACATTCCATCATTCATAAACTCAAATTAACACCTAATATAACAACGCATTTTCGGGTTATTAGGGTTGACAAAAACGAAGAATGTAATAAAAATAATTTTGGGTTTGCAAAATAACAAAAAAACAAAAAAGAGGGAAAATGTGCATGGTCTATGCACACGAAATAACCCGAAATTGTAGCCAAATTATATTTAATTACGAGCAAGTATTTCACATTCATTGCAAATAAAAACTTTTTTGAAAATCGAATGCTTCGTGCATACAGAATAATAACAGTTATAACAGACCCTCGAAGAATTCCTTGTTACTCCATCTCGATAACACAAATAACATCTTCCTCGTTCTTTAATGGTTTCTTCATCTTTTAAGATCAGGTATTTTCCAATTATTCTGATGTTCAAACCTTCTACTAAAAGACGAACAAGGCAGTTTGGTCCAGGAGGGATACTTCCAACAATTTGATTTGAAAGGGATTCAACAAAATTCTTATGAGTTGAGTGTTGATGTGTATTATTGAATAGAATGTATGCATTTGTAACTGCACAATTAATAATATCATAAAAGCAAGAAAGTGTAAACCTATTGCTTCTCCTACTCACATCGTTATAATGAATAAGTTGGTCATAGCGATCCACTCCAACTTTGTGAGTGTTATACAACATTATCATTTGAGGTTTGTTGTTATGGCTTGTTGAGTTGATGTATTTGGTTATAAAATTGCAAACCAATTTTACAGATTTGTTTACCTTACATTGGTATTTAACTATTGTCATATTTCCAGATGACATATAAAATGTGGAGTGTAATTCTTCCTTGGTATTTTCTGACCAACATTCTGGAATTTATGTTCTCCCTTTCCTCACTGTGCCAAGATAGTAATTTCCTGTAGATTGGATATATTGGAGAATTTCATAAGTTGTATAGAGATTATCAAGTACAATAATGTGGTGACCATCTTTGAACGGTTCAAGAAGAGTCTTTACTGTTTCTAAGAGACGACCTTTACTCGATCTTCCATTTTGTTTTCGAAGTTTGAAGTTGTTTTTTGGAAAAATTGTAGTTGGCAATTCGTTGTTTTTATCAAAATGTTCTTTTATTCTCGCATTGTTATCGTCCGAATTATCTTCGAGTGTTTTAAAGAACAACAATTCAATTTCGATATGTTCAAGAGTCATTTTGTTTTTTCTCGGCTAACCAAGTATTTTCATTTTCTGGTTGAGCTGTTTTAATAATTTTAAACGTCTTTTTTTATTTTTAAAGTTTTCTGTCTCACTTTTATTTGTACTAATGTAACTTTGAGTCAAATGAATTTGTTGGGTTATTGCAGTCGTGTTTACAGAGACGTTTTGACTTTCTGAATATTGTGTTTGGTGAATTGTAGTATTATGTGATATCAACTGTGAAGATGTCGGTGTAGGTGTTATTGTGTCAATCAAATTTTTATTGTCTTTATCTTTGTGCTCATCAGTACCTCTACCAAAGTATTTTCCATCAAGAAAATACCCCGTATCTGCACAATTGATACAATCCTCCCGGATCCCCCTAATATGAGGTTTGTCTTTTATATATACCAAATCCCTAAACATCCCTGAAAATGGAATAATATGTTCATCTATTGTTAACCACTTTCCGGGTTTGAAATATTTTTTACAATTGAGAACCAATTCACTCAAAAGTTGGTTGATGGAAAAAAGAGATGATTTTTTTGATGTTCTCTCGTTGTTATATAATCAGTTCTTAAACAACGTTTGATTGTGTTAAAACGAAGTTGTGGTAGTACTTCTCTTATTTCATCATTCTCTTTGTACAATTCAATAAAACTCTTGTTTGGTGAAAGAGAAAATTTGACTACAAGACCTACAAAAGCGTTAATCTCATCAAATGTGAAAGGCACGATGTTTGTGTTTCTTTGAGGAGTATTGTTAATTAAAACGAGCAATTTTAAACAAGAGAGTTTTTCTATGTTAAGAATGATTGATTCAGTTGTACAAATATTTAATTTCGTTAAAGCTGTCAAGTTGTTGTATCTATCCGATAAAGTAAGATTGTCAAAGTGTTTTATTTGACACAACACGTTTAAACATTTCAGTCCCGTGTAAATCTCGCACAAATCAACGCGTTTGTTCATCCATTCTGATATGGAACTTTTGTTTTTCCAAAAAGAATTGGTAAAATCCTCAAATCCAAAGTGATTGTCAACTTCATTGTTAGTTAAAACAAATTCAAAGGTGTCGATTGGAGCCAGTACTTTATTGAAGTCAAATATATATTGAGAGAATTCCTGGATTGTTTTTTCAACTGGTATTTTCTGGTTCGAACATTTAAGAATCCATTCTAACATTTGGGAATCCATCAATTCTAAAAATACACTTGACTCTGAATCACACTCGGTGATACCCGTAACTTCAAAACCTTCTTCATGGAACTTCAAGTCTTCACTTTTTAATTGGCATTGAGATTTCCATAGTAATCCCTTTTCTTTACACCCACATGTTTTTTCATAATTTTGAGTAAACTTTTTCAACTCCACGTTTCTATTCCGATGTCTGTTGTATTGCTTTGTTTTTAATTTTTGTTCCAGTCTTTCTTTTGCTATTGAAACAGTTTTCTTCTGGTGTCAAGTTGCGAGGCTCTTCTTTTCCAAGTTTGTTTTTTCAGAAATATTTTCACTTGATGAATACTCGCTTTCATCTTCTATAGTTAAAGTTTCCGTATTATCGTTTTTGTAATTACCCGTGTCTACAACATCCTCGTTTGAAAACAATCGTCTTTCAATAGCATAATACATTCCTTCTGTCATTTCTTGGATTTGTTCACTTTCATCGAAAGCCATCAGAACTCATTTATTTTTAAAGTTTTCATTTTTTGCAAAAGATAAATAAATAAAAATAGTAAAATCGTTTTATATTTGGATAAGATTCACATTTTATCGATTTTATATTTAATTGTAGTTTGATTATATAATATTATTTATTATATAAGTTATAGTATAACTTTTAATTATAAAAATAACAAAAAAATAAAATTTAATCATTTTTACAATTTTTTATCATCAAAACCCTGTGTATAGGTAATGCACATTTTTACTCTTCTGTTATTTTAAGTTTTAATTGGGTTTTAATCAAGATTTGTCTTTCAATCAATAAAATATATAATTTAACAAATTAATATTAGTAATAAAAATAATACGAAAATAAACTTTTTTATAAACAAATAAAAATGTTAATAAAATTGATTAAATCATATTATCAGATATTCAAGTTTTTTTAAAAAAACAAAATAAAAAACACTTAAAACGTGTGTAAAAATGTGGGTTCGATATAACCAATAAGATTGGTTCAAACAAAATAAAATAACAACATAACAAAAATATTATTATTGAAATAAAAAAATGGATTTTATTCAAAGTAAAAATACTTAGAGAACCAAATAACATCAAAATATTACGATAAAAACCCACTACTTACTATTAATTTTGTTTGTTATTGTATTAACACAATAATAACATTGAAATAATTATCTTATACGGCAAAACAACGCTATAAAACATCAATTTAAGTCGAGAAAAATAGCAGTTTTGGATACATTATACAATGCGTGACAAATAAATAATAAATTGTATAGAAATTGTAAAAATAAATAAACTATAATAAATAAACCTTTGAACAATAAAAACGATAGTTGAATTATTATATATTTTATGATTGATTATAACAATAATTATTAAAACTAAACCAAATGAACACCAATATGAATATAATTATATTGAGCCAAACATAAACAACCTTCTCATGCTTATTCGTTTATCATCTACAACCACCTCCGTTCTAAGCCATTAGTTTGATGCCTGAGTACATTGATGTTCCATTTGAAAAGACGATATTTTCATACAAGTTCTTTCTGATGTCGACATCGCACTCATGATTGAGTTGTAAATTGTCTCATGGATACCTGATGCTTCCATACCAAGGAATGATGGCTGAAAGAGTGCTTCTGTTCATCTGAATCTCTCGTTTCCAATGGTGATGACTTGACTGTTTGAAAATTTGTTTGATTTTTTTCGAGTTCTGATGATGAGGCAGATTTTTGCATTTTTTCGTCAAATCAAATGCAATGCGGCAAAGTTATTTATAGTAATAAATAATTATTTATTTTTTGAATTTTTATTCCAAATATAACAAAAAAATTATGTGTTGTTTCACACATTTATTTAATGTTGATTTACGATATTTATTCGAATTTCAAATGTTTTTTCGGGATATAAGGATTAAAAAATGATAATTTTTGATTACAAATTGGTTTTGCACATTGTTGTTAAAATAGTGCAACTTTAAACTATGAATTTATCCATCACAAATCTTGAAATAACCAACTCAATTATCGTGTTTATTCAAATTTATATCAACTATTTTCTTTGTTTTATCACAAACTTTTTTGTTTTGTAGCAAGTGACGTTGTTTTTTATAACAATTTAATTAGTACTTTTATTTAATTTAAACCATTTCATTGTTTAGCAATCTTCAAATAAAACACAAAAATGTTCTTTGCATTTTATTTGTTAAAATAGTATTCAATAATTAAAAATAACTACAAATGTCTTGCATAATAAAAAAATTTGAACAAAACTGGGTAACCTTACTGTATTTATTTTTAAAATTTTAAACAAAAACTTCTATTTAAAAACACAAAACACAATTCGTTACCTAATCAATTAAATAAACAATACATTATAAATTATCTAATATTTTTAACTATAACTGTTAATAATATTATAAGTATCATTTATATGTCTATTTTTTATTGATCCATTGTCGTGGAATAACAGATAGTCGTTAATTTTAAATATTTTTTTAAATTATACCTTTAAAAACAAAAATTATTTTAATATTTTTGTTATTTGGTGTGTTTGGATAACATTATTTTAACATCATTGTTATTCAAACAAATTAATTTATAATAATTATTAAATTATTATTTTAGACTCTATATTATTATTGCAAAAATAATATTATAAATAAAGTATGTAATCGATTTTAACCTCTAAATAATTTTAATTGTTATCTATATAACAACTACATCAATTATATTACATGTGATCATTTTATTGATCATTCACTAAACTAGTGTGTTTCTGTTTATATAAATTCAATGCTTATTTGTTTTTGTTTGACTTTGAACTTTTTAGTTCAAAGTCAAAACGCGTATTATAACCAAACACTGTGTATCTTCCATAATTATAACATTATAAAAAAGGTGATTATACCATTTTTGTTATAATTATACATAAAATACAATAGTTTTAATTACACAACATTGTTATATCAATGTGATCACTTATCACTTAGATAAAATCACGTTGTAGTATAGATATGATTGTTGATGTGTTATTGTGTCAAAATTATGTCTGTTGATTGTTACTATTATATATAACAATTATAATTATAAAACTATTATAAATAACATGATAAATTATTAATAATATATTAATTTATTTTATTATAAATTATAGTTTAAAGTGTCAACTTTGGTATATATCATGATATCTTTACACTTGTGTTTTTCTTTGTTTTTGATTATCTTATACATTTACCATAAGTTTTTTGTTTGTTGCCCAAAATGCATAATTCGGAAATGAATAAACAGTGGCTGCAAAATAAACATTTATTTACCAAATACAAATCTTTATATTCTAAATAGATTGCATAAAACACGTTTTACCTTTTGTTTTTGTTTGAAAATGATAAAAATATTCAAATTACAAACAATGAATTCATATCTTGCTTCCTCGACAGTAAAACGACGTGAATTTCAACGAGTGATCACAAAACCTCGTGGTGACCAAAGTTTATTTAAACGCGACTACTTTTATTGTTAAAGTTGATTTTATAAATTTTTCTCGATTTTGCGATTTTTGATACTTTTGAAAATGTATTTTAGTTATTTTTTGTTTATTTTACACTTATTTTCTTTAAGATTTTTTTTCAAAGTCGGAACAAACAAAAGTGTCTTAACGTCTTATCTTATTTCTTTTACAAAAAATAGTAAAACCCAATTTTTAAATTTTTGTATTTTTCAAAGTTTACAAAAAATCTATTTATTTTCCCTTGTAATTGTTTTTGAGATCAATTGCACATTGAAATTTCAAGACACCTCAAAGTCTATGCTTTATTTTCTTTTCTTTGTTATTTTATGATGCAATTGATTTTGAATATTCCGGACCAGTATGTTTTATGATGCAATTTGGTCTTTGTTATATTTTATAATTAATTTTTTTATTGTTATAAGTTGTGGTCATCTCAATAAAATTTTGATCTGACTTTTCCATACAACTGTGAATTGTTTCTGAAAAGATCAAGCAAAAAAGTGAACCTTTGTTCATCCCAACTTCAACAAAAAACTCACTTTTTTACTATAATTTATAAAAATTTACTATAAAAATATACTAGAGCCGTCGTTCCAGGGTGTCTAGCTTTTTTTGAAAAAATTAAAGAAAAAAGGTCACATTTACATTACAATTGACTAAGATTATTATTTTTTTTACAAATTTTGATTTTTCCCGTCTTCAAAGGGTTAATAACTTTTTGCCAAATATTTGAGGAAGTGCAAAGTTTGGCAAACTTTACACTTTCTCAAAAATTTAATTATAATTTTTAATAAATCTGAATTAAAAAACAACTATAAAAATTATAAAAAAAAATTAGAAAAATGCCATAATTTAATAGTTATTTAGCTATCAAAAAACAAACTATGCATATTTATTTTTTTTTTGACAAAAACGAAAGGTAATCAAAAGCTATTTTCGACTTGTTGTGTTTTTTATAAACATGTTCCACAAATCAAAAAAATAATTGATTTTATTTTCATTTGAGTTTACACACAACAACATAAAATGTAAAATATACGTCTTAACATTTGTTTGAAATTGACACTATTTCCACCTTTAAAAAATCAACACAAAATATTTCAATCATATTTTTTTTAGTCAATACACTGTTAGATTTTTTTTATAAAATGGAAAACAATCAACACAATTAACAGAACAATATAAAACGTTTTAAACAAAAAACTGACAAGTGATTACAAATACAAATTACTTGACAAAAACGACATTAATTGAATAAATATACACACTTTTTGCTTTGTTTGTAATTAAAGAACAAAGAAAAACATTATCCATAGATGATTATAGTATAACAAAGATTGTTAAATTGTTTTTTTTGATTAATTGATTTGTTAATGTACAATCATTGTCGATTATGAAAGTTTAATTGAAATTGTAAAAATATCATCGAAAAAAGCAATTATAATTATGACAATCAAATATAATGCTTTTAATAACACCACTAACAATTTGAAAAACTGTTTACAAAAAACACCTTTTATTGTTACATAAAGTTTGTTTGAATTTAGAATAAAAATAAAAATATTTTTTTGTAATCATATTGTGTTAAATAATGGTTAATTCAATTAATATATAACAGCGTTTTCAATAATTAATATAAACGAGATGTTATATACAATTAATTTTAACTGTTGTATTATTTTTTAATAACAACACACAATTTAAACATGTTCTTTATAATATTAAAATAACAATAAAAAAGTTAGATAAAGACATCATCATTTGATTATTAATTTTGATTTTCTAACAACAGTTAGCATATAAAATTTTTTCGTTAACAGCTACATTTTCAAAAAAGTGTTCAAACAAAAGGTGTTTTTACATTGTAGTATTGTAACATAAAACCCGACTTTAAATTATAACACAAACATTTGTATAATTTCACATTTTGCAACAATTTCAGGTTTTTACCATATGCTCACAAAAATGTGTACATAAGATATAAACAATAGTTTTTATGTTTGAGGGTTAAACATAAATTTAAATGTTGTTTAAAACGTAACCTTAAATGGTTTATTGAAATAATGTTAAAGGTTAAAACAAGTTGTTGTCAAATTTGACCACGTTAAATAAAATAACGGTCGTAAATTTGTGATTGACAACAACAAAATGTTGAAATTATGTGCTAAGTGACAAGTCTAAGTTAAACAACAATTTATTGATTAATTCAAAAACAATACAACTTATCACATAAATCATAAAATACTTATTTAACAAATTCAAAAATTGTTTTCTACATATTATAATTACAATAATTCAAATTAAGTGAGTCTATGTATTTTATTTTTTTATCTTTGTAAATTGTTCATTTTCTGTTTCGGCATTCAACAAATTTGGTAAAGATAATTTTAGGCAAATTATTTTTAATACCCATAAAGTAATCACAATTGAAAATAATATAAAATATTAAATTATTCAATTAAATATTTATGAAAATATATATATTATCTACAGTTAAGGGAATTAATATATCTAATTTAAGCTAATTAAAAATTATAGTTTTTTCACTATTATTCTAATTCGCCAAACATTAAGATTTGTGAAAAGTTGGCAAACTGTCATAAGTGGCTATGAGATTATAACTGCAATTTAATTAATATCAAATACCAAAATTTTTAATTCAAGATGATGTTTGTGAACCCAGAACAATGCATTATTCCCAAGTTAACTCCAAGACACAGAGTGTTTGACTGATCCGTTTTGAGAATCGGATGAATCAACTTCTTACTCAGTCGGTTTCAACTTATTCCCAAATTGATGGTTTAACAAACAACATTGTGATTTTAGATTCAAAACTGGATTTTGTGACAACTCTTTTGAATCAAATGGCGTCAAAGTTCTCCGACCTTTTAATTTAAAATATCGACATGAAAAATTCGAGTGGTGGTCTTCAAAGTCGCTTTCCCACCAAAACCGAGAAAAATGACAAAATCGAAAAATTGCCGTCGAAAATTGAAAAGGTTGAAAATCGGGTCCAACAAAATGCGCCGACGCTGTACATCAAATCACTGAAACAACAACAAGCAAAACAAACCCATAATTATCGACAAGAATTCCAACACTCAAAATTATTCACAAGAATGTCGAGTCTAAACATCCCAAAAGCAGAAGAAATCAATTCCAATTAGAAATACAACGAAACCGACTCCATCGTTGCCAAAGAATAAGAAGGACGACTTTGCGGCTCTCATTTGAAGCGGAAATTGCTAATTTCAATAAACGGCAGAAAGACGACAATTTGAGTGCCAAAAACAACGACGAGGAGACAAAGAAAGTGCAAACCAAACTTGAAAACGTCGAAATTGATGACAAAAACAGTTCATTGGAAACTGCGACAGATGTGAAGAAGAAGACAGAAAGTTTTACACTGACTGGAGTTAAGATGCCAGAGATCGCATCAATCCCTTTTGTTCCTAATATACCGACTATCCAATCAGCGTAAACTAAGAAGTCTACAGAAGAAGGGTGGTCGGTTGTGTCGTATTTGAATGATAAGAATATCAGTGAACAAAAAGACTCAAAAAAGGACGACAAAAATCAGTTCATCCCAACAAAAGACCAAATCGTACATTTCACCATCGACCGCCTCATAGAGACAGAAAAGAAACACATCGACGGCTATAACACGGTAAGACAAAATAATGACGCTTAGAAAAGTACTGTGAAGAAACTTAAAACAGAAATGAAAGGTATTATTAAGTAAACTATAAAGAAAACTATAAAAAAAACTATAAAAAAAACTATAAAGAAAACTATGAAGGAAACTAAAAAGGAAACTAAAGAAGATAAAAAAGATGAGATACAAGAAAACCATCTTACAGTTGAACAAAACGAAGAAAAAACAGAAAAATCGTTGAAATACCACAAATATTACAAGCAAAAAAAGAAACCCGAATCCCATCAATTCATGTTTTTAAAGGTGAAGGAAATATCTGTAATGAAACACAACAAAACGTGGTCATAGAAAACAACTTAATGTCGTCAAAGATAGATAAGAAACCATTCGAAAAGAAAAGTCCTGTTATATCAATGATCTCAGTCGTATAACCGTGGTGTGGCTAAATGGTTAATTTAATTGGTTAGCACTTTGTTACTTTGTTTGTGTCACCTATTCAATTGATAAAAGTAAGAGTTATTAATTACTATAACTTTTTGTAGTTAAATATACTATATTGTAACTATTTAATTAAACTCAAATTAATTGGGTTGTAAAAATTAGTATTTATAATAGTTATGAAAATAGTAAATTATTTCAATTTTATTAATAAAA